AATTAGAGCAACAAAGTTTATATTAATGTAAAATAGCCAGACTAGGCAAAGAGTAAAATGAACACAGCAAGATATTTTGCTTTCAAAAGCTGCTTTTATCCCGACTCAAATAAAAATGAAATGGTGGCATGGAAATAAACAAAAATAGCTGAAATAACACCTCAACATTTGTGATTTTAGGCTGCTGGCCTGCTTTGAAAAACATTTTTATTGTGTTTTTGATTCAGAGAATTGTTTTGTTTAGGCTTATAAATGTAAAATGTACTTTATATCTAATTATATAGGGATTAACGTGACCATTTGTATTGTTAGGATACAAATCACAAAAATAATTCCTTGTTTTGATTATATATGTGTTTAATTAATATACCTACAACACTTACCACTACTGAGCTATAACTTTACTCTCCATAGTCAGATTCAGTATTGCAACCATTTTCCCGAGCAGCTGAAAATGGTTGTTCATGTTCTAGTCCAGTTCCTGCAGGCCTACAGCAAACTTTAAAAAATTTAGGCGACAGTGATATGATGTTTCCCTTGTGTCAGCTTGGACACCCACTGAATGGTTGTGCTCTGGATCTTATTCCTTTTGAATGGGCTACTGACCAAAGACGGTCAGGTGACATTTTCTTTCTGCAACACAAACTTTAGCCTCCTGACCTAAACTTGACTTACATTAGACCTATTTTTCCTTTGACCATTTCATGTGACACTGGAGCTCTCTGTCATAAGACGTCGGTGAGCATGATGGGAAGGGAAGCACGGGAGTCCAGGAATAAGGGAAACGATGGATTTATTGGGAGAAACGACACAGAATACGGGGAGAGGACTGGCAGCAACGTTAAACTGACGTTAATGACAGGACTAGGGAAACATACTCTAACGCAGACTGAAATTCACAGGAATCAGGAAAACAATTCAAAACAGCTGATCACATGGGGATTCCACACGAGGTTAATGAAGGGGCGTGGCACACAGGAGGGTCGGACGAGCAGGGTGTGACACTCTCTGCTTTCTACGCTTACATCAGGGAACGGTCATTTATGACTGGAGAAGAAAAGTCTTATTTCATAATCCTTTGGGCTTCTTCAGTTAAACAAGCAGGCCCAGCATTCTGCCTCATCACGTGGGCTGATCTGTTTAACAGAGCAGCAGCAAAGTCAGTGAAATTGGAACCTAGGCCAGTGACATTCCAAACCTAAATTAATTCAAAGCACTGGATTTGTTTAGTGATTTATCTTATTACTTTGAATCATTCATCCTAACAGTTCAAGTGAGTTGGCCATGTGCTTTAAAGGGATTTTATCTATTGAAGTCTTGTATGCTCTGTGGATGATCACTTTTCTGCCTTTTCTTGTAATCCCCTTCTCCATTTGCTAAATTGTCAAAAGTTGTGAGTTTAGAAATTGTGTAAATAGGTGCTTTTAATCCAATTACAGCTCACGCTGCGGGATCACAGAGTACTTGGCAGGAACTTAACAGACGGCTTGGCAGCAAGTTTCTATTGTATATAAAATGTCCCTGAGTGATCTAAGCTCCTTTAATTATGTTTTCTCTCCTACTAAAAATGTGCCATCTGCTAATCTGTCCACAGGACTGCTACTACTGTGCTTAATAATAATAATAATAATAATTATTATTATTATTATTATAATAATTATAATAATAATTACAAATTTTCCTCATTCATTTTGCCTGTGTTAGGTTGATGGATTTGATTCAGTTGGAAACTTAAAAAAAATTTAATTCCTCCACTTAGAAATAAATCTGAATCTGCCTGAATGAATTTAAACTATTTCATACCGGTTTAAGTCAAACAAATTGTTTTTTATTGGTTTCAATCTCCCAGGTTGCTTCAAGAGCCAGTGACTATGAACAAAGGAAAGAAGTGTGTGAGATCCCACGGAGAGCTGCTTGGGGGGCTGTTCCCAGAGGATTATCTTTCCACTTTCCTCGAACCTGCGGCCACACACTCTAACCCTGCAGGCTGGGTCAAACAATCCTGACTGTGACTTGAAGGCTCCCATTCTGTTGCATCCCCATCGCAATAATGGCTCTTTATTGTGGCAGGCGGACACTTTCAGGTGTGTGCGGCACCACACACGTAGCTTAGCTCACCTGCAGTGCTGGTCAGGCCACAGTGCAGGACGCGGTATGCAGGGAGATACTTGCGGTAAAGAGGCAGCTAGCAGGACCAGACTCGCAGTATTTCAGTGGAGCTACTGGGTTTATTTAGGGAAGCTAGCAGCCATCACTGTATGAAGAGTGTATTTTTAAAGGCATAACGAGGGGGAGGAGATATAGGGGATTAGGTCAGATTTGAAACCACAGTGGGCAGTTTAGCCAGGACATGGAGTACAACCACTAATATTGATGCCCAGGGATCTTTCATGACCTCGGTTTTACGTCTCTGAAGAACAGCTACATTTTCACAGCACAGTGTCCCCGTCACTGCACTGGGGCACTGGGATCTACATTGACCACAGGATGGGCACTCCTTTTGGCCACACCAACACCTCTTCCAGCAGCATCCCAGCTTTCCCAGTTGGTCTTCCATCCAAGCACAGGCCTGGCTCAAGCCTGCTTAGATTCAGGTGGATTGCCTAGTCTAACCTTCAGATGGTATGGCTGCTGACTGGACAGATGGGCAAGCAGGCGGGCGGATGGATTGACTTACTTATGTACTTAATCCTTGAGGGGAGATTTGTGTTACCAGAAAAACTATTCAGACGTCACTTTAAACTATTTAAGGATACGTCTAAAGGTGTATCTTCTGTGCCGTCAACAAAGTGACTCAAGCCTGCATTATGCAGCAGAGCAGCATCCCCTCTCTGTCTGCCCTGCTCCTCATCATTAAAGTTACAGACCGAAGCTGTGATTCGTTGATTAGTTACCTGAGAAAACTAATTGGCATAGACTAGCATTTATATGTACTACAAATACAACAATACTAATGGCATTAATCTAGTGCCATCTGAGTCTATGAGATAGGAACAAAAGATAGATTTCTACCTTACCAACAGAGGAGAAATTCACAATAGAACACACACAGCCAAATTCTGTAAACGTAAATGTGAGTCATAGCTCACAAATACCTGTGTGCTTTGTGATATGAGGAGGATTGTGGAATTCCTTAACGGTGCTTGGTGCTCATTAATCCTGCTTTTCACCAACGTAACATTCGCTGGCTTAGGATGAATTACTCACACATAACGCACAAATAAAAGACATGGATGGCAAGTTACCTCATAACTACTGTAAGTTCTTTTACACAAAGTCAATGAGGGTAATGAAGCAGGTCTTTGGAAGTAGATGCACACCTTGTGTTACCCTGGGAGGTAAAAGGCTCCATCACATCAAAGTATGGGGACCATTGGTTGAGCCAAACAAATGTGTTTTCATTTTCATATTTTACAAATGAAAAATTTTGCAAATCTTACACTATTAAGATTCACTTTAGTTTCCAGTAAAGTATTGTATGTCAAGTTCATTATATGTTTATTACAGATGTTATATTCCTGCACTGATAATTTTAATTATTGATCATGAATAATGCAATGTTTACAATAGTACTCAACCAAGGAAAAATTTTGGCACAGGGTGTCACCTGAAGTACATCCAACAGGATATTGCAATAATTTCATCATAAAAATGTTTTGAAATAAATAGGCTGGCTAAAAAAATATTATAACATCCATCCATCCATCCATTATTTTCCGCTTATCCGAGGTCGGGTCGCGGGGGCAGCAGTCTCAGCAGGGAAACCCAGACTTCCCTCTCCCCAGCCACTTCGTCCAGCTCCTCTGGGGGAATCCCAAGGCGTTCCCAGGCCAGCCGAGAGACATAGTCCCTCCAGCGTGTCCTGGGTCTTCCCCGGGGTCTCCTCCCAGTGGGACATGCCCGGAACACCTCACTAGGGAGGCGTCCAGGAGGCATCCTAAGAAGATGCCCGAGCCACCTCATCTGGCTCCACTCAATGCGGAGGAGCAGCGGCTCTACTCTGAGTCCCTCCCGAATGACCGAGCTCCTCCCCCTATCTCTAAGGGAGAGCCCAGCCACCCTGCGGAGGAAACTCATTTCGGCCGCTTGCACTCGCGATCTCGTTCTTTCGGTCACTACCCACAGCTCGTGACCATACAGTAGGTGAGGGTAGGAACGTAGATCGACTGGTAAATCGAGAGCTTTGCCTTTTGGCTCAGCTCCTTCTTCACCATGACAGACCGATGCAGTGCCTGCATCACTGCTGATGCTGCACCAATCCGCCTGTCAATCTCCCGCTCCATCGTCCCCCCACTCGTGAACAAGACCCCGAGGTACTTAAACTCCTCCACTTGGGGAAGGACCCTCTCCCCGACCCGGAGAGAGCATTCTACCCTTTTCCGGCTGAGGACCATGGTCTCAGATTTGGAGATGCTGATTCTCATCCCAGCCGCTTCACACTCGGCTGCGAACTGTCCCAGTGAGAGCCAAAGGTCACTGTCCGATGAAGCCAACAGAACCACATCATCTGCAAAAAGCAGAGACCTACAGTAATCCTGAGGTCACCAAACCGGACACCCTCAACTAGGCTAGAAATTCTGTCCATGAAAGTTATGAACAGAATCGGTGACAAAGGGCAGCCCTGACGGAGTCCAACCCTCACTGCAAACGAGTCCGGCTTATTGCCACCCATGCGAACCAGGCTCTGGCACCGGTTATACAGGGACCGAACAGCCCTTATAAGGAAGCCTGGCACCCCATACTCCCGGAGCACCCCCCACAGGACTCCCCGAGGGACACGGTCGAATGCCTTCTCCAAGTCCACAAAAAACATGTAGACTGGTTGGGCAAACTCCCATGAACCCTGCAAGACCCTGCTGAGAGTACAGAGCTGGTCCACTGTTCCATGGCCAGGGCGAAAACAATCCAATGGACCCTCCTCTCCAGGAGCCCCGAATAGACCTTATCAGGGAGGCTGAGGAGTGTGATCCCCCTATAGTTGGAGCACACCCTCCGGTCCCCCTTAACATATTGTGATTATTCTAATAATAAAATAATAAAAAGATGACATATGAGGTGACATATAAAGCTGCAGGAAGGATTTAAATCTATGCTGGTTCCTCTCTAGTACTGTACCTTATGTGTATGTGTTGACCTTGGTAGAGATGCTCTACGAAGCACACATTACACACAGAACAGTAATAATCAGAGGTTTTTTTTTTTTTTAATGAAATAGTTTTCCACATTAAAATTTCTGGGCATGTAGCCATATGTCTAGTGACGTGTGCTTTAATGATATAATACCGATTAGCATGAATTTCCAATGCCAAAGATAGGAATGTCAAATTTAAAAATAAAATAAGGTAATTGCAGAATAAAAAACAGAATAAATCCAATGGAATTACAGGACAGTATGGTTTCTGTGGTGCTACTTAAAAATCAGATGAAATAACTACTGATCCCAACACAGATGGCAGATTGTTACATACTCGTCCATAGGCCTACTCTCCTGGTCTGCCTGTGGCAGATTAGACCACACAAAAATATCCAATGATTGTAAGTACAACTTAATAAATTGCATGAAAGGAAAATTGTGTGGCGCTTGTTCCAAAAAAGGGGAGACTGGAAACGATTTGCAACACTTAATACACGCTAAGAGAACCAGCTTACAATATTACCTGATAACTTTTGATGTTTTACTGAAACCAATTTTGGGAAAATTGTTTCAATACCAGTGGTGCCACTTTCAAGACATATGGTTTTCCGTCACCAGAAATAACATTTACAAACAACATTATAGCGGTTTTGGAGCCACTGCACCAAATATATTTAATAATAATGATGGTAAAACCATACCAGCCTAAGGGCTAAACACCATTGAAGACCATTAGGGCCACCTAAATGTAAAAAAAAAAATAATTATAAAATGTTTTGAAATTAAAATTGAAAGCTTTGAGATCTAACAAAAGTCAAACGTTTTGAGTACAGAGTCCAACTAAATTTTTTAAGAAAAAAGAAGAAGCTGGTGGAAACCAGTCAGTGGCTGTGAGCTGCCTGTAGACGGTGAATCGTCTTACATGTCAGTGACATACAGGTGCCTCACATTCAGCTGCTTTCCGGGTTCACGTCACATGAAATGAAGGATTGTATCTGCTAGGGATCTGTATAATTCAACTTTAATGCCAAAACGTTTATGTTTAATTTCTATTTTTTTCCATCGGAAGTTAATTTCAAGTTTAATCTAATAACTTTCAATGTTAATCTCAAAATATTTTGTATAAACCCTTTAGCTTAAATACAAGCTGCGAAAGCCATTTACAAACTCAACACTTTGTATTTTACAAAAAAGTAAAACGTCTATCCAACAATGATTTACGCAAGTGGCAGAAATGATTTCCAAAAAATTCGAATTATATATCACTTGCAATAGCATTAATAGAATTACATTATTAGAATGTAAAAACACTGTGTTACTGCTCTCATTGACATAGCTGATGAGATTGTCCTTCGGGAGAAATTTGGGGATGTGGTACGTTTGAATCTGCTCGATTCTTGTACCATGTGCACATTCCAGTATAGTTTTCATTACGGTTCTTGGTCCTGAGAATCTATGATGCTTTACAAAAATCGTGACAGAAAGAAGTTGCGTGGCAGCCTGATAAAGAAGTAGAGATGTTTCCTCTGATTTCCCTTTTCATACCCGCAGCAGGAACTGAGGAGGGTCAGAAGTCCCTGGCTTCCTCGCACTGTTTGCGGTAATCCTCCTCCACAGGGTTTTCTCCGCACCGCTGCCTGTTGTTGGGTGGCCGGGCCTGGTTGTAGCGGCTCCAGTCCCCCTTGCAGATGACCCATGGAAGTATGTCCACCTTGTAGTGCAGGTCCTCGGAGAACTCGGTGCTGATGAGGTTTGGTGAGCCGGCACCCTTCCCGCGGGTTATCAGCGCCATGTCGTCGTCGTAGCAGCAGTGCTGTGCGGCCAGCGTGGTGGACTGCAGGGTGAGCGAGGAGCGGATGCAGTAGCGTGCCGTGGGCTTGTAGATCGGCAGCTTCTCTTTGGGGCCGCTGGCGTCCTTCCAGCGGAAGTCCCGACCCGTGGCAGAGTCATGGACGTTTGTGGAGCCGTAGGCTGCCTCGGTCGGATAAGAACAGGGGCAGCTGGGAAGGTCGCTGGACACCTTCAGCATGTACTTCCTGAGAAATTCACTCTTGCAGTTCATCCATCTCTCACAGCTGTCTGTGGCTGTGGATGTATTTAATCATGGTTAGACTGCGACTCAACATGATGGATAATGATGATGCAATGAAGCAGCAGAATGCATACCGGAAAACAACCGGAGAATAAAACATCTCCTTTTCTGGTATATTTACATCACCCATCATCCAATAATTGATATTGTTGTGTGCAATGCGTATACAAAATAGTATACACACACATAGAAACACACACATGATATTTCATTGATTTATCAATCTCAATAAATATGCAGAGAAAAAAAGAGAGTGATGCTATCATGTCAGCAATTAAATCTATCTGTCCATCAATCCATTCATCCATCCATCCGTCAGTCCATTTTTTCCTGTTCAGGGTCGCGGGGGGGTCCAGAGTCTATCCTGGAAGCTATGGGCAAAAGTCAGGGAACAACCCAGGTTGGTGTGCAAACCCATCACCAGGAAAGCAATTCAATCAGTACAGCTTATCTTACCAACGCCGAAGAGCTCTGTAGCGTTGAAGTCATCGGTCCCAGCCAGCAGGCTAACTTCCGTAGCAGCAGTTCTGAAAGCATCTTCAATACCTACAGGACAAAACACAGAATGAGCAAAGTGCATCTTAAGATACATATTCAAAAGTAAATCTACCATTGTCTAAACCTGGTGTCTTCAATCTTAATCTAGGGGTTGCCCTACCACCACAAAGAATACTGATCAATAACTAAAAACCATAAGACTTGGGATGGATTGGGAACAGGAATTATCCTGGCAAAGCGCATTCCCTTCATCAGCCACTGTGGGAATATTTTTCGCTCCTGGCCCATAGAACATATTTAAAGAGAAGAAGGTGTATCCCAGAGAAGGTGTATCCCAGCCTGCTGTCCCATGCTATCTGGCATAGGCCCTGGGATTCCGCAAGACTCTGACCGAGGTAATAGGTAGAATGGCCAGTACCCACAATGCATTTTGCAAGCTTTAAAAATGCTTCCATGCACCCCCATGGTGTTGCAGCCCCAGGATGAAGACCCTTGGTCTGATCATTATAGCTCATTGCTATTAACCTACAGCAGAATTACTAACATAGAGTTATTGTGGTGCATATTACAGTTACAGCGAATGATCAGTTGGCATCACCACAGCCTTGTTATGCATGCACTGTCCCATAGGTGGCGCACCGACCTGGGCAGCTCAGCATGTCGCAGGTACGCGACTCTGTGGCCGTGCAGCCATAGCCGCAGGACCTGGTGCGCTTCTGGCTTCCGTTGCCGCATGACACGCTGCAGGCCGACCATGCGCTCCAGCCGCCCTCTCCGTCCGTGTAGTCTGCGTCAGAGAGACGGAGCGTCAACTGGCGGCATTGATGGAGGCCACATGTCCCTGGCTGCCACAGCTAGTCATTAGCATGCCTCTGGAAATGGGTTTCACATGTGCGGGGACTTGAAAGTGCCCCGCTGTCAACTGGGGCTTCCAGCTCAGCGGGAACATCCTCGCACCGCCGGCCGGCCTCACAGATCGACGTGCATAACCAGGCGAGGGGCATTTCCTCTGATCCTGCAGAGACGGGAGCCTCGACGGGAGCCTGATGTAGCGGGGAACAATCCCACGATGCTTCGCAAAACCGCGGCCAGCACTTCGGAGTGAGATTCTGTTCCAGAGTGATGTTTCGGGTGTGATTCAATTAAGATAAGCAGGTCATTTGTAACACAACAATGCAGAGCAACTTTCCAAAGAGGAATTAGGATAGAAGACTGAAATTTTTTTTTTTCTTTTTTAAATCTGTGCAATAAAGTTTAAAATGTAATCTTGAACTACCGGTCCCACAAAAGTGCTTTTATCCAAAGGAACGCATATTTTTTGGGCCAACCAATCCCTGGAGTAATTTGGGGTTAAGGACCTCGCTCAGGGGCCCTATGGTGAAATCACTCTGCCGACCCAGGACGTGAACTGTTGACCTTCGGATCACAGGCACGCTGTACTGACCCACTGAGCCACACACAGCATGCATGTCTTAGCTTTTTTTGAACGAGATACCATTCATCCATTTTTCATTAGCACATATCTGGGTGGGGGAGGGTGTTCACACTGATTCTGAAGTGTCCCCAGGACTGACAGGGCATGGGGACACACTAGACAGGGTGCCAGGCCGGATATGTCCAATTCATAGTCACCAATTAGCCTGACCGCATGTCCTTAGACTGCAGGATGAAACCTGGGTCCCACACAGAGCCAGAAGAAGGATTCAAACCCCCCAGGCCGGGAGGTGTGAGACTGCAGTTTCAGCCACTAAGCCACCATGCTCTGTGTTCCATTCTGATTTAATATCTTACTAGAACAGTTCATCCAGACAAATCCTGGACATCGGGAAAAAGTGCTCAGGCCCACATACGGTACTCACCACGTAACGCTAAGTCACACTCACCGAACTCTTCCTGGGCCGTGCCTTGCGAATGACGCTTTTGCCCCCCTCTGGTGTCATACCGCCCCCTGCCACCAGGGGGGCTCATGGAGTCGCCACCGAAAGGCTCAGTGTTGCGGGTTTCGCTCCTGGGGCTCCCAGGGAAGTGGGAAGCAGACGTGGAGGAAGAGGAGCGGGTCCACCAGCTTCTCCAGCCTGGGAAGGCCACATTGGACTTGCTCTCCTTGTGTTGCTTCTTCTCTGCTTCCAGTCCCTCAGGACTATTGAGCACTTCAATTGTTACCTGTGAGAGAAGAGTAATCCTGTGAAATACGTGCCCCGGTCACTGCACTCTGTCTCTTCATGAGGTTCCCTTTTCGGTCATATACCAATCTCTTTTCAGGGGTTTCAAGAGATTCAATTTGGGATAAATATTTCATTCAAACCCATTCATTTGCATCAATTATTATTCTACAGCAATAATGTTGCAATGGCAGAATGGCCAGCGGCACCCTTGTGAGAAATTCGGCTTTGTCTGGCATTTGCAAAAAATTGATTTTAATCTAACATGCTGTAATAATTTTACAGCCTTTCTCCATAAAATTAATTCATATTAACACCATGAGTGTCTTAGAAAATAATGAAATGAAGAAATTCTCATGTAGACTAGGCAGTAAGTAGAAAGGAGGCTCTCACTGTCAACAAAAGCATTCAAGTGGTATTTCTACCATGGTATATATACCCCAAGGCAAATGCCAACCAGTCGTAAACGTTTCATTACTGTAATTATGAAGAAATGTTCATATAAATTAAGCAGCCAGCAGAACAGTGGTTTCACTGTTAATAAGAGCATTCAAGTGGTATTGCTACTATGGTATATACACCCCAAGACAACGCGAACAAATCACAAATGTTTCATTATTGTAAATATGATGGAACCAAGCCAAAATTCTTATTTTAATCACATTCTTACCCACCGAAACACCCTCTCAATCCCTCTAGCGATTCCTGTGGCCCACCTTAGATCTTACAGCAGGAGTTTGTCCTGATGAACAGCACCATCAGAAGCAGCTTCAGTGGCTTAGGTCTGTTTTTCCCCATCCGGTCCTCAGGGACCCACAGCCAGTCCACATTTTTGCTGCCAGAGAGCTCACTGGGAGCAAAAATGTGCACTGGCTGTGGGTCCCTGACGACCGGATTGGGAAACACTGGCTAAGATAATAAGCATTACTTTTAGCAGGCTTTGTCCACCCACTAATGATAGGATGCCTGCTACGAGGTATGTTCAGGCATTGGGTTTTAGGACACAGAAAACAGAGGGGTGACCAAACAAATCTGTTTCACCTGAATGTTCGGGTTCTGCTTGTTGATGTCGGCCTTGGAGAGGTCGGGGAAGTTGTGAAGGTCCAGAAGGAAGGCTCCCGACTTGTCTGTCTGCAGTACTGGACTGCCCCTAGTGGCCTGGGGGACAGTCTGCTGCTCAGGGTGCAGCTCTGAGGGCAAGCTGTCCTCATTGACATTGTCCTGAAGGAAAGACAAGGAGAAAAAATTAGGCTGGAAACATGCCTTCACAATCAATTTATTTAAACCACAGGACATTAAACTGGACGAAACAAGTAAAAGGAACAATGCATGGCTCAAACGCTCAAGGTAAAACAAAACCGAAAAGGTAAATAAATGTTTGATGTGAAGGAGACTAATGTTCCCCCGAGGAGGAATGTTTAGCGCCATTAAAATAATATTTCAGGCTGACGGGAGTTCAAATGGCAGTGACCCTCATCATAAATCCCAACGCGGGGATGGCGGAGAAAGGCCAAGCCAGAGGGAGTCTGGAGCGTGAGATCCAGTGGGACGCCGGAAATGGGCCCACGGGCGAAGGTCAGAGAAGACCCCCATCCACTGGACAGAAGAGAGGGAGCCACCCCACCCCCTTCCCCAGGAAATGGGCCACAGACCTCAGAGAGCACCAGAAGCCAGGCCTTCTTCTCATCTCCAGGTTTGGCCCCCGAGGCACTTTGAAGATGTGCCACCTGTTTACTGAAGTGTCTCCAGATGTGTCACATAAAGAATAGGAAAGCCATTTAATCCTCTCCCAAAGCAAAACGGAGACTGCAGGATGAACACGCAAATCTCTGCACACTGAAAGGCAGACCGGCATCCACAGCCAAGCCCAACAAACTCAACAAAGTTCCTGATTACCAAAATCACAGGGGTTATCCTGGTATGTAAATAAAGAGGCCAGAGGAACAAGGCTTATATCTGTGAAGACTGAGGCTTGCTCTAAATATGTGGCAATGCTTTATATTAACTTCCCCTTCATAATGCATTCACAGAACATTCATAAGTAGCATGTAAGTATACCTTAACATCCTAACATACTTTAACAGCTGTAGTATACATTAATAACAAACATCATATAATAATAACAAACATAATCATATAATGTTTTGATATTAATCTGTATTAAAGATGTTAAATTATGATAGGATGTTAAGATTTACTTACATGCTGCTTATGAATGTCCTATGAATGCATTATGACGACATTATAAAGATTTAGTTAATGTAAAGCATTACCAAATATTTCTATCAGGGAGTGATAGCCGGGTACAGAGAGCGAGCAGCACCAGCCTCGCAACATAAGAGCACAACTGGACACGGAGGGTCTCAGGCAGCTGGAAAGAAGCACATGTACAGAGAGGGAACGGTTTACTTCAAAGTCCCGCGCCATTCATCAAGGAGTGCACTGAAGAAGCTGTACGACGCTAAGACGCTGAGGCACAGGGGCAAACGCATTGATGTGACATTCTCACTTGACAGTGAAATAACCCTGGTCCCTGTCAGACACCATAAATATGTCCCCCGGGACCAATAAGCCATGTGTTCCTCATCACATACACTAGGAAGGAACAATTACTCGCAATTGAACAGGCAGCTGTAAGCCACTTGTAATCTCCACTACATTTTTTTGGAAAAGAATAGGTTGAAAGGAATCAATTAATTTGGCTATTATCTTACATCAGCCGGCCCTCGCTAGCTAGTTTGCAGATCTGTCATGTTTGCAGTAGCCGGGCAACTGAGGTTCAACTTGATGGTGAATGAGGAAGGGCAGCATTTCACCTGCAGAATAAGGACTCTCAGAAAGGTACGAGGTGTCCTTGAAGGGGGGGGGGTTGTTTCTCACACGTGCTGTGGGACGCAATGTCTTTTCTATTTTCCCTAGGATCAAAAAAAGAATGTACAGCATTTCATAATATAAATACCCATCCGTCCATCCATCCAATCCATCCATCCATCCATCCATCCATTTTCTGTAACTGCTTGTCCTATTCAGGGTTGCGGGGGGTCTGGAGCCTATTAATATAGATTTACTGAAATTAAAGTTGTTGAATAAATAACTGAATTAAACCGATAGCATAAATAAATGAATCATTTTAATCAATTGCAAAATCTTTTACTAACTGTACAGGAAGGTATAAAAAGGTGAACCAGAGGCAGACCTTCACACCGTCCTTTGGCTGTACAGGATGTCCGCATGAATGGCTTTAGAATCAAAGTAATTAGGGTGATAACCTTTCTGTTCCTTTGTGAAAGCAGCCTGGAAATATATGAACCCTGCACCAGTTTCTGCTTCGGTGCAAAGTCATTATACATGTCCTGTATCCAGACGTTAAACTTCAAAAACTGATAATAAAAAATAATCCAAGTAACCTTGGAATTATAACCAGGCAGCCCATGACTGAAGTGACCTTGAGTAATATTTATTCTTTATTCTTCAAATAATAAATTTGGAGGACTTTTCCAAACAATAAAGATAAATACTAATGCCAGTAAAAAGCCATAATTCTGAGTAATTTCATTTAATGTTTGTTTAAATCTTTGTAATTATTACCACTCTATATTTGCACCTTTTCAGAGTGCAGTGAAACACATGTCCTTCTCAAAGCATACTTTCCCTTTCCACCAAGTCTGTAAGACCCTCATGGTTTGGTTCCAATAATAGGAAACCAGAGTTTCAACAAACAAACATATAATTAACACTCTTCCATTCTGATAAAGATTCTTCTCCCATCTAATTCCTCTTTATTAATTGCATGAGCCCCCGAAGATGGAGTGCGATTAACCTCATATCCTAAATAAGCATTACGATACGCTTACAAACATTCTTTTATGCTTGTTGAACGTTAAACTGGGAAACCTCAAGCCTGTTCTCTCAATGTGTTTGTTGCCAGCTTGTTAATGGGGAAGTCTGCTCAAAGCAAACAAAGCAAATGGTGATTCAAAGATGAAAGAAAATGAAAACTACTGATGTGGAAAGCCGGACGATTTCTTTTATAATTCGCTGCTAAAGTTTTGAAAAAACAGGCAACGAAATACTAGGCGCTGGGGCAGATGATTAAGGCGCCATCTGCCTTTCATCGATCTGTTTCTCCAAAAGAGCCCCCTGAACAAAACTCTTTAATTTGTAAGATCAAAGGTGATCCACCATTCTTAAGATAAACACATTTCCCGTGGTATCCCCGGAAGGTCTCTCAGAAACATGAATGAAACGTGACCCCCCCCCCCACCACCACCACCACTAACGTACAAAAATGCGCATTCCCCATCTCACATCCCTTCCCCTTGTCCCTCCTTTTGCATCCCAAAGGCTGAGTAGAGCACCATGACTCTCAATTGGACCCAACACCGGGTGTGGGGGTTGGGGGTTGGGGCTGGGGGGAGCGGTATTCCAGACAGGAAATGAATGTGACACATGTTGTGCTGGATGCCTTTGAATCAGACACTTAACTGGTGGTGGGGGGGGGGGGGGTGTCCTCTGCTTCTCCTGCCTCCCTCCTCAGGGCCGACTGGGGCTCTCCTGGAAGTGCAGACTGGCCATGTTTTTAATCGAAAGCACTGGCTTCCATCAAGTGTCAGAGAGAAGCTTAAGGAGCCTCACAGACAGACAGTGCTGATAGTGCTGCGCTCAAAGCAGCGTCCATTCCCCTCGATTACCGGGGGGCCACAAGAAAATGACTTTAAATTGTTTCCTGTAAGATCAGAAATGTTCTTAAGCTGCTCTCTAAGTACTCGATAGGTGGTTGGAAGATGGATGGATGGATGGTTGGATAGATGGATGGATGGATGGATGGATGGATGGGTGAACATTTTGTGTGAAGATTTCTTTCATGAATTGCCAACATTTGGAATATTCTACCCCAAGTGGATGTTATTTTTGCTTTCGCTCTGTGCTCAGTGTTTTCTTATGATTAGATCTGGGTTTATATTCCAATAAAAAGTAAATAAATCACCATCAAAACTGCAATACTGCTAAGCCAGATTCATGCTACTTGAAAAAAAATGATTTCAGTCATTGTATGTCCTGTTCTATGGCTTTCAACAACAAAATAAGAACTGACCGTGCTGTCTTATATCAGAGGTTTTATCACCTTGAATTTGAAGTAGTCTCATTATGGGAAAAAGTTCTGTTATGGTGACAAACCTCTGCACTGGGATGAGGGCCTGCTTTCTGCCGTGGTGACAGGAGGCTTGTGCAACAATGAGGCCACGATGACGGGTGGCCAGCTGGTGTGAACAGACCCTCCACGTCTTATTGCACAAATACCCCAACTATGTGATCACATGGTAATCGACACAGAAACAGAAGTGGAAGGAAAACAGGGGCAGGCTGTTCTTTTCCGCATAATACGCACAGTGCATGCAGCCAAAGCGACATGCATTATCTGAGAGCGCAGGGTCAGTCAGTCCCTGGATCAGCTGGGGCTAAGGGCCTTGTCCAGAGGTGCTGGAAGCGGCGTCCTTCCGATCACAGGTACAGTGTCCTTACTGGCCGAGTCACACACCTCTCCAAGCTATGCCACATTGACCGGGCAATTATCATGAATGATAATACATAAAACGTGTTATTCTGGATACATTTTCTTTATACTGAAACAGTACTGGAGAGCTCAACACTGTAAGGTGAAATAAGGGGGGTGCAGTCAGTAAATATTACATCTATTCAGTCATCTCAGATGCCTTATTAATAGTGCCACTATGACCACTTAAAAGTTAATTAGTTATAATTATAGAAATATCTGAATTAGACTGTTACTGTCTGAGCCCTCCTTCCCCCCATCCAAGTTGTACCCCAGCTTTATGCTCTGGAGATTAAGAAATCACGGGCCCTTGGGTAGAGTACTGGATGTGTTATTGACTGCATTTCACAAACAGGGAACAAAGCTCTGGTCCCCCTGTGGTAACTGAAGGAATCCTGGGGCCTCAAAACAGTCCGTGTACTAAAAACCCTGGTCCTCTAAGAACTAACTCTGCATAGATACAGGAGGAGTTCATCCAAAAGAGTTCATCCGGAGAGCTCAAGCCCCCCCCCGATAACTGGAAGGTCTTGGGGCCCCAAAAGCCACAGTCAACCAAAACCTGTTTGATATCTAAGGCCACTCTGGGCCTTGTTAAATAACTATCACTGTCATAACCATGGGATAGCTTAATCTAAAAATGGCCATGGACCGCCTTCACCAGATGGGGGCCATCGGTCAGGGCCCCCCCAAGGCCCAAGCCATAACTCACCCATGCCTGTGTTGCCTGGGATACCCTCCAGGGGACCAGGATAAATGCTTATAACGTGAATCGATGTTACTCTTTGACACAATGTTACCCTGCTTAATATGCAGTTTGATTGAATTTACAACTATATTTTCTGAATAACCAAAAACAGATATTTCACTGCTGTCATTTTGTTTCTAAACAACAAGCAAATACTGTAAATATGAGAATAAATGTTGTGTGAGATGAATACATATATAATCATTCATCTGAATGCCATTTCTAGTTTTTAAATTAACCTCCTGATTAACACTTTATTCTCTCTCACAATACGTCATTGTGTGAGTAATTTTTATTACTTTGTGGGGGTTTCATGGAGAAACCCTCAAGCCTAACATCCACGTGATTCTGCACTGGCTGAACTTTGGCACCTAGGCTTCCTCGCTTCATCACATCTCATGACAGAGAGCTGTGATTTGTAAATTTACATCCCTAAACAGCACCAGAAGAGCAGGTAGAAAAGTAGTTACCAAATTCGATTACCGTAAGTACTGTGATATTTGTGCTGTAACCCACAAGACATTACTGCTGTACAATATAACAAGCTTCACAGGTCATCCTATCAGGAATAGTATTAATCAACTATGTAAGTATCGGTAATTCAAATCTATATGGTAATATATAATAAATATAACAATAAAAACAGTGTGTTTTTCTATCTGTCTTATCGTGTAGGCTATTGTCCATATAATTATTTTTAAAAGAACTGCTGAAATAATATATGTTATGCATGATATCCCATCGAGTCATTGTGTGGTATTCATCAAAGCATGAGCCGCAAAGGATAGATAGATAGATAGATAGATAGATAGATAGATAGATAGATAGATAGATAGATAGATAGATAGATAGATAGATAGATAGATAGATGAACAAACAAATAAATTCATGAATGAGCGACAGACAGACATTCATGGGAAAAAAGTCAAAACAATGATCCCAGAAAGTTAAATACTGTAGAAACTTACCGCGATGCGTGGGGTGTTCTGCTTGCTACTCGAAGTTGCATTTCCATGCTGGAACGGGGTGCTCCATAAAACCGTAATGTGCACAGTTAGGATGAGAAGTCCCACAAGCAGCAGAAGTTCCGCCGCTAAACGAGTCATTCTCCCGATCCGACCGGGCTTGGGACCCTGTAAGGGTGCAGAGGCTGATGTACTGACACCTCCAGCTGGAGAGACCCCAGTGTCCGCATCGGCAGCGGACGAGGAACCGAGACACGTCTTTGGAGCCACCTCGGAGCCAATTACACAAAATTAAAAATAAAATAAAAATTATATATTAATAATAAGTATATTCAGTTAAAAAAACTGGATATAACCAGAAAGTATATTGCGGAACTGAAATTTTGCAGTGTTGCGGAGCTTTGCTAAAATGATCGGAATAAAATAAGAAGCAACATGGAAAAAAAAATCTTTTTCATTTAATTAATTCAAATGCTAAAACTGAACTTTAAAAGTATTAATCAAGTACTGAAAAGGCGATACTTTTGTTGTTTTCATTTAGTTAGATGGATCTGCCGTCCACTTGACCATGCAAACTTTGGTTCGTGTTTGCGCCGCATTTTCCTCTGGTGGAATCACTTCGTCTTTATAACACGAAATCATCATTTGTCCCTCTTTCATCACAGGTGTCCTGAGCTCCGGCTCCTTGCTTTGCGCACTTAATAATCACGCGAAGTACTTATATGACCTTTTGACTGTTACATTTGTTACTTAATTCCTCATATTTATTTTTTAAAAGATACATATTTTTCAATAAAGTTTAAACACCGCCTTAAATCTAATTGTCACTTGTATCACTCCATGCAGTTCACCCCGGTGTTGCACTTCACGCAGAAATTATCCATCCAATCGCTTAGGCGGTCTTATGAAATGGGCTTCACTGTGTACGTTTCTGATCTGCCTCTTAGCATATATATGTACACGCCTTTTTTGACTATTTGTATATGAAGGAGCCTTGTAATTTTCCCCAGTACTCCCATGCGCTGCTTTGCCGTGCATCCCTCCCCTTTACCCTTAATCAGTGGTCGGGTCTACGGCGCTGCGCCTGGTATCTGTGACTAAAGACCGCAAAATGTCCATCTTTATACTTTTGCTGTAAATGAGCTTTGCTATAGAGGCTCAGACATTTTACAGCTGGTAATGCTTCAGCGTTCTTTGGTCCCAGCTGTTTTTTTGACAGATATTTGAATCAGCGCATCTTTTTGCACAGCAATAATTTCACACGTTTCGTATTTATATTCGCTGTTACCGACTTGCCGAAAGTTTTACTTAAAACGATAACAAACAAGAAACGCCATTTATCATCATACAAGTTAAGGGGAAACCAGTAAGGCGTAAGATTTGAAAGTACAGTAAATGGTACAAGCAAGTAAGCACGGATTCAAGGCCGTTCAATATGGACATTTACATTTTAAGATCCTTGTTTCTCTCTTTGAGGATAAGGACAGCAGGCAGTGCCAGAGACACAGACTCCTGCCAGTAAGGCAATAAATCCACATGAAGTGTTAAGTGAGAAACCCAATACAACTGAATTACTTCACTTATTTTACAAATCCCTGCACCAATATTTTTTTATTTTTTATTACAAGATGTCTTGTTCCTTCCCTACTGGGAAGCCTAGTTTTACAGTCTACCCTCAATCAGACGCTAGACTCTCACTCACCACATTATGAGGGAAAAGCTATTTCGCAGCACTATTAAGGCTCTGGGAATTTTAAATTTGAAGAAGTTGATTTGTTTTTGGTGCTTAGCCAAAACAAATTCGCTACATTGTGCACCATTTAACATCCTCTCAGCTGACAGGTGCAATGTGGACGACCACCAAGGAGTTAATTAGAAGGCTAAGACGTGCCAGGATTCAATAGTGGACAACAGAAATATATTTTTTAAATTGAATTTCTCTCTTGGTCCACTCAGGTCTGATTTCAATTTTAAAATCAATATACATCTTGCCGCTATTCTTGATCTATTTTAAATGCGAAGTTTTCACCCTTGGATGACCAGATCTCTCCAGTTCGGTTCAGCCGCTGAGTGTATGTGATAAACAACCTTTGTGTGTGTCCGCTGATTAAAAGAGCCGTGGATTTATGAAAGGTCTTGCCAGATATCCAGCGATAGATATTTCCAGAAGCCACTCTGGCTGTCTAGTTTTTTCTAATATTACCAAGACCTTTGAAAAACCTACGGAAAATTCAGCGACACATCTGTTTACCAGACTGTCCCCATTACGGCTTTATTGTGGCTGGTTGCCTATGAGCCGACCATGTCAACAATGAACAATATAAACCCAGGGCCTGCATTTCATCTTTCATCTCTCCCCCATTTCATGCCGCATCCTTTCTCAGCAAGCGCAGCAAACGAGAGTCTGCTGAACATTACACATGGGTCTACAGAAATCCTGCTTCTAGTTAAGTGTGACAGCCAGGGTCTTGGCGGGACTTAAACCAGCAACCTCTGCATTACTGGTGTACTCCCCTACTGACCATGCTACCTACTGGCCCAGATGGCGACAAAGGGCAGACACGTATTCGACAAGTCAGCAGCTGATCGCACTCTGTGTCATGTGAAGCCGCTCTTATTTGAAAGATGAGACCCGAGACTGATTGCATTACAGCGGTGGTTTGATCTGTTCCTTTTCATCTCCCGGTGCCCACGTGAGAAGGTCCTGCATAAATCGACCATGCGACTGTCTGGTATGCAGCAATACAATACAGACAGATTTCCAAATTTCTTTACACTGATTTCTTTTGGTCAATCTTGCCACAAAGCTGGAAATAATATACTTGCACTTTTTCTTTCCAAAACAAGTAAAAATATAGGTTACACTTATGCAGATAATTATGCAATCATTTCTTCTTTATGCTTAGTTATTGAAACTTGTCCATAAAGAGGATTCCTCACTCTCTATCCACCAAGTAGTAGCTCACAGATCATCCTGATTTTTTTTTTCTTTCTTTTTGTTTTGGCCAAAGGATAAAGATGGAATTGTTCTATGATGTCAGCTGCCACTTGGCTCCATGGAATGGAATTCCACACCTTGCTTGAAGAGCTGCTCGGGCCTTGACTGTCACTGGGATGTCCTATCAGTGCATCCATGTTCCTTATTGCCTGGCATCAAGGCTTCAGCCTTATGAACCTTCATACCAAGACTGATGTAGTGCCAGAAGCAGTAATATCCACCTCAAGCATTACAGTGATACAATGACCCACTGTTTCTTCAGATTAGCCAATGTAGAAACTCACCTTTATTAAACAACAGCAAGGCATAGTCATTTATTTATCTGAGTTGAAATGTAGCAGCACCTATAAAGTATGTTTGTGTTCTTTTTTTGGAATGGATGAAAGTTTTTTTTAAGGATGAAAGTATAAACTTTCTCAGTTAGTAATACTGAGAAGAGTGCTGAGATTTTTATAATAAAATAATCTTTCATACCTGAACATACAGGGCCTTTGCTATGCAATCCATTAGTTGGTATACCATTTGTATGACATTTCTTTCTAGCAAAAATATGGTAGGTGCTTTTAGCTTACTGATTCATATATTTAGATGAAAATGATTAATAAAATTCACATTTGTTTTGCATAACATCTGGCATTTTGTTCACAGTTTAATTTTAATTTCACAGCAGCAATTCTAATTACATGTGTTTTCTACTGAAGGTGGCTCTGAGGCCAGGGGTCTGTGCCAGCAACTGGAGGGTTGCTGGTTCAAATCCTGTGAATGCCAGGAGTAACTCTGCTCTGCTGGGCCCTTGAGCAAGGCCCTTTACCTGTAATTGCTTGGTCCTGGGTATGACATTAATCTACATCCAGCCCTATAAGGAGGTCCTCCAACTTACAGGGAATACTTGGGAGTTGGTGGCAGGACTGGCACTCCAGCCACTGGAAAAAACAAACTCAAACTGGTCCATTTGGTCTAGTGGTATCACCCACCACATGGCTGCACTTGGGTTCTCATCCCTGAGGCGGTTTATTGAGTGGTGAGTGCGGCAACACGCTGTAATCGGTGCATGCTCCTTACCTCCTCTCTCTTCTGAAGGGGCATGTGATGTCCATCCATCTTCTAAAACTGCTTATCCTATTCAAGGTCGTGGGGGGTCCGGGGCCTATGGGCACAAGGCAGGGAACAACCCAGGATGGAGCACCTACCCAACACATCGCGCATTCACACACCATTCACAACAGTAGGCAATTAACCTCAGCATATTTTTGGACTGCGGTGGGACACTGGAGAACCCACAGGAAACCTCACAACAGCACAGGGAGAACATGCAAGGCCAGGTACAGGAAACCCTGGGGGAGACCTGAGCCCAGGTCCCAGAGGTGTGAGGTGACCACTGCGCCAGCTGCTGCCCTGCATGCCCAAGCTGTTTATTACAAATTTAGGAATTATGTCCCGAGTTCTCAGCTTGATCACTATGGGCTGAGCTTCTGAAAGTCCTGACCCATGAAACTGATGACGTGAAATCTGCGAAATTCCAGTGTCCAGGAAGGAAAAAAAGGTTAAAGGGATTAATTAAGCATTAATCATTATGAAGCTTAGGAAAAGATTAATATATTCATGCTAGAGCCTGAGATTAGGATTAACAGTCCCTGTTCATGAGAAACAGTAACAGAGAATCACATCCCAGTTAGGTCAATTAGGAGTCTCTCTCTCTCTCTCTCTTACATACACAAACATACACACACACACACACACACACACACACACACAAAATACACCACAACTGCTCTACATATACTGTATAGAGAAATGTGCAAATATGCGGCATGCACTCCAGAGTAATCGCTTGTCATTGAACTAAGTGAGCACAGTGCTCCATTGCAAAGGTGCCACAGCGAATTGCTTGCCATTGCTAATCACTGGAAGTTTCTCAAGCAATGGATGTAAGAAAGATACCAGGCGGGGCTGAGAAAGTCAGACTGCTTAAACAGCTCATTATGTTATTTATTATTTATTTTCTTCTTGAAATGTCAGTAATAAATTTATTGGGATAATAAGACTTGAATTGTGGCATCATTTATCAAAGTTCCCCCAGAACAAAGACAAAATGGGCTGGTTCTATAACTCCCGGGCTGAAAATAAGCCCCCCCCCCCTCCTGACCACATCTGTACAAAGGCCCATATTAGACTATTGGGAAACACATTCATTAAGCACATAGAAGTCAATACAGCTTGCCATTAATATAAAACAAACAAACAAGCAAATAAAACACACATAAAACATTGCATTTCTAAAATGTTTCATTTGTGTTTTGCGGTCGACTAAGACAGAAGGATCGCCTCAGTTTCCCTTTTCTGTGGGGATCACATGGCCCCACATGTGCCGAATTAGCCCACACCAGTCTGCTCCATTCTTCCTCTAATTTTGTCATCACCAGTCACTCTGACTTAGGTTTCATATGTATGGTAACAAACTGACTGCACCACATGAGTGGTAATACCAGAGCGCACATTGACAACATATTTACACATTGCAAAGTTCTTACCACACTTTATAATTTAGGTTTTCAATCAGATTCAGGCTCATTCCTCTGGATGCAGAGCCTGTTTGCTTACTTTTTAGCTCAACTATCTTAGGAGTAGGTTCTACTGTTGGGTGGGAGCCGTTTGGCATTAGAAGACCCATCATATCCACAATATGAGACAGAGCAGTGTCACAGTTCACATAAGCCTTTGTGTTGCCCTTGGAGCTGTAATACTTATTAACCATGAGATTTGGAAAAGAAGGGGATAGGTGATCAAAGGGAAAATAGTCGATGAAAACATGAACAAGATCAAAGGAACGAAAGGGGGGAGTTCTTACAAGATAGCAGAAGAATAAAAGCAAGCTTTACCAAAGATTTGAAAATTTATGTTGTGCATCTTGAAAGCCCATGAAAGCACATTCATAAAATTATGCTAAAACATACATAACTCTTCAGACTGCTACACAGAGACTCATTGTCCAATAACTCTGTGAAGACACCTTTCTCATTGCACATGGAACAAATCAAGTAATTTCTGTAAAAACAAAGGTTAATGAAAAGTACCAGACAAGTACTTTCCTGGATTAACTTGAATTAATGATTAATCAGCTCTTCGAACCAGCATTTACTTTTTGGGAAGGAGACCAGTA